TGTTTTTTTTCCACTCCGGGCGTTTTACCTAGATTTCGGCCCTGGGGTTCCTGGCGCCATCAACTCTTTGATCCAGGGCGAACAAAAACATTCTCGGGGAAGGGCTCGGGGGTCGGGACCTCCTGGGGCTGCGGATTGAAACCAGTATCGAACACGCCTGCGGCAAAGCATCGCCGCCCCCTGCCTTCTAGGATACAATAATGATGTGGCCAAACGTTTGGGCACAGTTTGGCCAAGCGATTGGATTCTGTATTGCCAGAGCCGTTGTTGAAACCCTTCGGGGAACATGTGGGGAAGGAAGTGGAGGATGAAGAGAGGGAGAAATAAGCAGGAGGAGTAGGAGGAGGAGGAGAAGGCAGAGGCGGAGGAGGAGGAGGCGGAGGAGGAGGAGGCGGAGGAGGAGGAGGAGGAGGAGGAGGAGGAGGAGGAGGAGGAAGATGAAGAGGATGAGGAGGATGTGGAGATTTCTTGGGAGCCTCCTTGGTCATTCTTGGGGCCTCCTGGGAGCTTCCTGGGTGCCTCTTGGAGGCATCTTGGGGGCCTTCTTGGGCCTTTAGGAGCCTTTTTTTGGCGGGTGCCTGTTTGGCTGTCTTAGGGCGTTTCGGGTACTTTTGATGCCGTCGGAAACCGTCTTCGGGCCCCGTTGGGATGCTTCAAGGCTGTTTGGGAGGCCACATTGGGCGTCTGGGAGGGTTCTTGGGCCGTCTGCGGGCCCTCTTGGGATCGTCTTTGGGTCTTTGGGGCTTCTTGTGCCGTCATAAGGGCCATCTTGGAGGCATCTGCAGCGATCTCGGGCCGAACTTGGGCGGCTGTTGGGCCGTTTTGGGCCGTCGCAAAGCCGAAGAGAAGAGGCGCTTTGATCTTTCCGGGGATCCCTATGGGTCTTCTTGGAGGCCTCTTGGGCTGTATCAGATGCCCCTTGAGAGCTTCTGGGGCCATCTTGGGCTATCTTGTGCCACCGTGGAGATACTTGTGGCCATCTTGGGCTCTCTTGGGGCCTTCTTGGCCCTACTGGAGGCGTCTTGGGACCATCCTGGAGGCCAGCGTGGGACATCTTAGCCGTCTTGGAGCCGATGGGGCCCGACGGCGACCGACATTTGGGAGCTCTTCTGGTGGCTGGCGGGCTGGGCCGAGACCCCACGGGGAGTCCTCTAGAAGGGAACCAACAACCTGCCAGAGATTCGGCACGCCGCGCTCCCCTATTGCAAGACCACAAGGGGGCCGCGGATCGAAGACGCCTACGGAGACTCTCCGCCGCCCCCTGCCTTTTGGAATCGCCCACGTGGCCGAGCGCTGTGGCACGAGCTCTGCCAAGCTATCGGACCACGCGCTCCCCCAGCCGTTGCGGAAACCCTTCGGGGAACATTTGGGTCACTTGGTGGAGGATGGCGGGGAAGATCAGGAGGAGGAGGAGGAGGAGGAGGAGGAGGAGGAGGAGGAGGAGGAGGCGGAGGAGGAGGAGGAGGAGGAGGAGAGGGCATCTTGGGAGCCTCTGGGGGCACTCTTGGGGCCTCCTGGGAGCTTCTTGGGAGCCTCTTGGAGGCATCTTGGGAGCTTCGTTGGGCCTCTTGGGGACCTTTGGGAGCTTCTCGGGGGCCTCTTTGGCAATCTCAGGGCATTCCTGGCCCGTTTGACGACCTCTCTGGGCCGACTTGGGGCCCTCTTGGGGAGCTCCAGGGCCGTCTTGGAGGCCATCGTGGGCGTCTTGGAGGTCTTGGGCCCTCTTGGGGCCGTCTTGGGGGCCTCTTTGGCAGTTCTGGGGCCATCTTGGGGGCCTCTTGGGCGATCTTGGGGCGATGCTTGGGGGCTCTTGGGCCGTCTCGGGCCGTCGGAAGGCAGAAAAGAAGCAACTGCTAAAATCCTTCAAAAGTTTGAGGAACATCAGCCATTTTGGCCTCTTCGGGCCTTCCTGGAGGCCCTCTCGGAGGCCCCTTGGGCCGTCTTGCCGACCTCTTAGGGGCCTTTAGGGCCGTCTTGGGCCATCTTGGAGCCATCTTGGGCCGTCCTGGTGGGCTTCTGGCCCTTCTGACGCCGTCTGAAACCGTCTTGGGGGCGTGTCTGGGCCGACATAGGGCCCTCTTGAGGTGCTCTTGGGCCGTCTTGGGGCGCCTTCGGGCCGTCTTGGGAGCCTTTGGGGCCGTTCTGGGCCATCTTGGAGGCCTCTCGGGCGATCGTTGGGCGATTTTTGGGCGATCTTTGGGGGCTCGTGTGCCGTCTCGGGCCGTCGGAAGAATGCCAAAATCCTGCAAACACCTAAGGGACATCAACGACTTTGGCCTCTTTTGGGCCTTCCTGGAGGCCGTCTCGACGGCCTCTTGGGCCCTCTTGGAGAACTCTTGGGGGCCTCTTGGTTCGTCTTGGGCCCCATCTTGGGCCGTCCGGGAGGGATCCTGGCCCTGCTGACGCCGCCGAAAGCCGTTTTGTGCCGACTTGGGGCCCTCTCGGGGTGTTCCAGGGCCGTTTTGGAGGCCATCTTGGGCGTCTGGGAGGCCTCTGGGCCGTCTTGGGGCCCTTTTGGGGCCGTCTTGGGGGCCTCTTGGGTAGTTCTGGGGCCATCTTGGGGGACTCTTGGGCGATCTTGGGGCGATGCTTGGGGGCTCTTGGGCCGTCTTGGGCCGTCGGAAAGCCGAAAAGAAGCAAATGCCCAAGTCATATGAAACCGCAGGACATCAATAATTTTGGTCTCTTCGGCCCTTCCTGGAGGACCTCTTGGAGGCCTATTGGGCCGTCTTGAATGCAACTTGGGGGCCTGTTGGGCCGTCTGCCGTCATCTGGAGGCTGTCTTGGGCCGTTGGAGGTTTCTTGGGTGGACTTCGAGGCATCTTGGACTCGCTTGGGCCGTCTTGGAGGCCACCTTGGACCAACTTGGGCGAACTTGGAGGCCATCTCGGCCCTTTGGGAGGCCATCTTGGGCTATCTAGGAGCCATCTGGACCGCAAAAAAAACCTTTGCAACCGGGTTTTCCGCAGCCAGCGCGCTGGGCCGGAGCCCTAGGGGAGATTTCTTGTAAAGAAGAACCAAAGCCAAACCAGTAGGGTTCAGGCACCTCTGTGGTAAGACCACAGGGGGCGGCGGATGACGGAAAGCGCGCGTAGCGTCGAGATCCGTTAGTAGGGAGAAATCATCAGGGGGTGTGGGGGGCTAGGCAGCCCGACCCCCAGAACTACTGGCCCTAATTTTGGCAATTCTCGGCCCAAGACGGCCCAAGTCAGCCCCAAGGGCGCCTGAGAGGCCCCCAAGACGGCCGAAGACAGCCTCCAAAGCGTTCAAGACACCTCCAAGACGGCGTCGGAGGGGTCCGAGAGGGCCGAAGACGGCCCAAGAGCGCTCCAAGAGGGCCCACTATGGCTCCAAGACAGCCCAAGAGGCCCCCAAGACGCCCCAAGAGGCCCCCAAAGGGGATGCCTGTGAGGATCTCTTGGGAGGCCTCTCAGATGCTTCTTGGGGGCCTCTTGGGGCCCGATTTGGTCCTCTCGGGGTCTCTTGGGGGCATCTCGGGGGCTCTTGGGCAGTTTGGGGCGATCTTGGGGGCCTCTTGAGCCGGCCGTCTTGGACGCCCTGAAGACCGAAAAGGCCGTACCGCGAAACCATCCTAAGACCAATGGACAATGACGATGTTGTTTTTTCTTTGGCCGCTGTCCAGGGCCTCCATGATATGGTCCACGAGGCGCCCACAGTCCACAGTCCGCCTGTGGGCGGACATGCCCGACCTAACCCTGGGGCCACGGCTTAGCTTGGCCGTCGGCGGGCGCGGGGGGTGCCCGGAGCGAGGCTGACAGCGCGGGCCCCTCCTGCCGCCCCCGCCTCGCTGCAGGGCGCGCGCTGGAGCAGCACCCGCCCCGACGCGGGCGGCCGGCGCGCCCCGCACCCTCCGGGTGCCGCCGGGTCTCCGCGGGTCGCGACCTTGCCGATCTTTTGTTGCCCTTGGCATCGCTCGGACGTGTGCGTTTTTTCCTCGGGGGGGGCCATCGAGGAGCATCCTTGATCATTTGGCGAAGGAGCCACGCACGAAGCCGAAAAAAAAACACAGGGAATGGACGTCCGAGCGATGGCGAGCGTCTGGGCTTGACCGTAGTGCGCCGCTGCTGCGGGTGCGAGTGGCGGAGCGGCCGCGGGGTGGGTCGCGGGTGCGTCGCGGGGGGGCGACAAGGAGAGCAAACAACAAACGCGCGGAATCTTAGCCACGGAATCCCATTTCACCCACGCGCCCTGGGATGGTTGACGACCGTCCGGCCCTCTCACTTTCAGAGCGATGCTGCCTTCGTCTTGCCCCCCCCCCCCGCCCCGCCCCCGTTCCTCTCGCCCGCCCGCCCAGGTAGTCCCCCCCCACTTGCCCCTCCCACCTCCCATCTGCCCTCTTCTTCATCATCTCTGCTCCCCCTCCTTATGGTCGCTCGTGCACCATGCCGGCCTGCCTTGGGCACCGTGCTGTGAGACCGTGCGAGGTGTCGGCACGAGCGAGTCCGTTATTCACCCAATCACCGCCCACCAAAGCACCCTAACTCAACCCGAAGGCCCCGATTTGCTCTTCATTTCCAGTGGGGGGGGGGTCGGGGAGCATTGAAAAACACATATGAAGCCCGTACCCCCCAAACCCGGAATTCGGGTCTTCGGGTTGGGTCGGGGTGGTTTGGTAGGTAGTAACCCAAACAGTGCGCAAGCCAAAAGGCCCGCGCGCCCCCCGGCCAGAGGCACCCTGTCCGCGCGGGTGCGCTCGGTCACCAGCAGCGAAGCTGCTGGTGCCGGTGGGGGCGCGCTGCACCGCAGGGAAACTTTGTTGTCGCTCAGCTCCGTTGTTGCAGAGATGGCGCACTGCAACTCCGGGAGTTGGCCCCCCTCCCACTTCCCATCTCGCATCCCCCCCTCTCACTCCTTCGTCCTCCTCCCTCTCCCCCCTTCCCTCTGACTCCCCTGTCTCTCCCTGCTCCCCCCTTCTCCTCCCCCCTCCTTCCTCCTCTCTCGGAGGGGCACGTCCCGCCCCCGCCACGTCTCTGTTCCCCCTTCCTTCCCGCCCCTCCCAATCATCGTCGTCGTCGTCCTCGCCATCGTCGTCCTCGTGGGCCTCACCAGAGTCATTTTGGCTCAAACGTTTTCGCTCACGAGCTGCTCGCCTCTGGCCGCCCTCGTCGGCCGCGCGCGCTGGCCGTCCAGGCTGGTGCCCTTGCGACCGCCGGCCATGGCGCAGCCCGCCCAGAAGAGGGCCAAAACGAAACGGTGACGAAAGGTCACCGGTGCCATCGGAGGTCATTAGATTGCTCGCTCGCGTGGTGATTCATGGAGTTTGGGTTCTCTGGCGCGGAAAAACAAGAAGAGGGCCAAGACGGAGAGAGTGTTCCTGTTCTCCTCCGGGTCTGTCAACGAGGGCCACCCCGACAAGATCTGCGACCAGGTGTCCGACGCAATCGTGGACGCATGTTTCGTCGGGGACCCTAAGAGCAAGGTGGCGTGCGAGACGGCCACGAAGGACAACATGATCATGGTTGCCTGCGAGATCACCACCCAGACCAAGACCGATTGCGAGAAGGTGGTGCGCGGGGTGGTGGCCCAGATCGGGTTCGACTCGTTCGAGGACGACCTCTCCAGCGTGGACAGCAAGGGCCTCAGCGACAAGACCTGCGAAGTCCTGGTGCGTATCAACAAGCAGAGCCCAGGCATTGCCGGCGGCGTGCGCGTCGGGAAGGAGGACCTCGAGGTGGCAGGGCATCATGTTCGGCTACGCCGCTGACGAGACTGAGGATTGCATGCCTCTGACCCACTCCGTGGCCACGAAGCTGGGCAAGTCCCTCACCGACGTGCGCGAGAGCGGGGAGCTCTGGTGGTTGCGCCCAGACGGCAAGACACAGGTCACCATCCAGTACCTGCAGAAGGCCGATGGCTCCGTAGAGCCCCAGAAGTTCCATACGGTGGTCATCTCCACGCAGCGCGCGGAGCCTTCCAAGGCGAAGCGGACGAAGGAGTGTGCGCCGGCTACAACGGCTCCGAGATGACCGCGCCGAGCATGGAGGGAATGAACAAGCTGATCACAGAGAAAGTGGTGAAGAAGACGCTCTCCGAGATCAAGCTGGAGAACGGACGGCCCGCCATCTCCTTGTTCGGCGACTTCACTCACATGTACATCAACCCGTCTGGCAAGTTCATCATCGGCGGCCCCCAGGGCGACGCCGGCCTGACCGGCCGCAAGATCATCATCGACACCTACGGCGGCTGGGGCGCCCACGGCGGCGGCGCGTTCTCCGGAAAGGACCCCGCGAAGGTGGACCGGTCCGCCGCGTACATCGGCGGGCAGATGGCCAAATCGGTGGTCGAGAGCGGCCTGTGCAAACGCGCGCTGGTGCAGCTCTCCTACGCCCTTGGCGTGGCCAGACCGCTTTCCCTTTATTGGGAGACCTACGGCACCGAGCAGGGCGCCCTGAGCGCCGAGGACATCACCAACGTTCTGAAGATGGAGTTTGACTGCCGCCCTGGCGCCATTGCCATGTCACTCGCGCTGCGCGAGCCGAAGTATCAGGAGACCGCGGCGTACTGCCATTTCGGGCGCGAACCCGTCACCAAGGACGGTGTGAAATTCTTCGAGTGGGAGAACGCCAAGGACGTCTCCAAGTATGGGAAGATGTCCTCCGACCAGGTTGCCGCGGCGTTGAAAACCAGCAACTATCTGACCAAGTGGGTGGACTGAGGCGCATTTGTTGCCTGATGCAGATGCCGCCGAGCACGTTGCTTCTGAGACAGCTGCTTAGAAGGTGCTTGTCCTAGCAGGATGTATATCATATGTCGGGGTACCGGGGGCCAGGGCCCCGGGCCGGGACACCCTCCCGAATTTCCTCCCCCCCCCAAGTAACCCACTTTGTCCCCGGGCGTCCGGAGGCTCTTTTGCGCCCCCGGAGGCGTCCACCACGGCTTCCTTGGACGGCGAGAAGCCGCGAGAGCGCTCCAAGACTTTCAAGATAGCCCCATCAAGGCCCAAGGGGCCCCCAAGAAGCCCCAAGGGCGCTCCGAGAGGCTTTCCAAGAGAGCCCCAAGAGGCAAACATCATAGATTTTCATTGTGTGTTTTCAATGTTTTTTGCTTGCCCGCGTTTTCTGGCTTCTGACCTTCCAAGATTGCCGAGGAAGCCTCGAACATCGCCCCAAGACGGCCCCAAAGGCCCCGGAGAGGCCCCCAAGACAGCCCAAGAGGGCGCCCAAACGGTCCAAGAGGCGCCCAAGACGGCCCAAGAAGGCTTCAAGACGGCCCCAAGAGGTGCCAAAGAGGGGGAGCACGAACCGACAATGGAGATTTCCGCCCCAATAGGCCCCTAAGAGGCCCCCAAGAGGCCCCAAGAGGCTTAACAAATGCCCCCATCAGAGACCCCAGAGAGGCCCCAAGATGCTCCAAAGCGGCCCCCCGGAGGCTTCGAAACATTTCAAATTGCCTCCCCCCAAGAAGCACTCCAGAGGCCCCACGAAGCCCACTGAAGGCCCAAAAGAAGCCCCTACAGTCCGCAAACAGCCACGGACGAGCCCCACGAGGCATCATAATTGTTTCGAACATGTTCTTTGGAAGCTTCGCCAGAGACCCCAACAAACATCCAATATGCTTCTGGTCCACAGCACAGGCACGGTGGCGGCTTCACCCGTTGCCCTCCTGTTGATTTGGCCCCAGGACTCCCGACGGCCCCAAGAGAAGGGCAAGATGGCCGAGATCAGTTCGAACCACAATGGTCAGGAGGAGGAGGAGGAGGAGGAGGAGGAGGAGGAGGAGGAGGAGGAGAGGGAGGAGGAGCAGGAGGAGGAGGAGGAAGGAGGAGGAGGAGGTGGAGGAGGAGGAGGAGTGAAGAGGTCGAGGAGGTGTACGAGGAGATGGAAAAGGAGGAAGACGAGGACCTTGGTGCACATCCCATTTTTCAGCTTAACGAACCGAGCCGATCACGTTGGGGTCGCGCCGCGTATTTCGTCTTCGCTTTTCAGTGGGTGTAGGACCCCCCGGGGCACCAGGAACCCACAGGGAGCGTTGCCTGGTGGCCCTGGGGGGTCGTGATTTCCCCTTAGGCAGCCCCCCCCGAGCCTGGGGGCCGAGGCCAGGTGAAGTGGGGGTGATAAGGGGGCACGGGCGCAAAGCGCTTAGGGCCCCCCCCCCTCCCCCCACTCAGCATGTTCGACGACAGCTTCGAAACGGCAGGCGTCAGCTGGGCGCGCGGCCTGGGGGGCGACGCGGGAAGTGCTCCGGGGGGGGGGGGGGGGGGGGGGGGGGCTGCAGGGGCCAGGCTCACGTTGATGTTTCAAACCATGCTGAAGCCATTCGTCGGTACGTGCGTTCGTGCATCCGTGACTTTGTCAACGCGCGCAGCCGTGGTATTGTCAAGCGCCTGCGCTTGCTAGAACCTAAGCGCGCGCGAAAAGCGCGCGTGGTTCTAGTGGAAATATACGCAGCGAACCTTGTTTTTCCGCCAGACCATACTTTTAGTGCGATGTTCCTCGGGCTGGGTTTTGCTCCTGCTTGTGCCCAGATTCGTGGACTCCGCCATTCGGGGTCTGCGCGTTGAGCCGCAGACATACCATGCACTCGTGGAGTGGGAAGCACCAGAAACAGCTCACCCTCGTTTGCCGTTTTTTGCTGGACCCAGCGCGTTCTGAATCCTTTGTTCTTCAGCTGTAAGTATCCTTTGCGGCGCCGATGTGGTGTGACAGGTCAACTGGTCCTCAAGCCGCCGTTCCTTGGGGTGGGGGGTGGGCGGCACCCCTGCGGCCATGTATCTTGTTGATTTCCCCGGTGTTCATTAGATAGTTGCACTTAGAGTCGACGTTGGTGTGATTCCTCTTCCTGCATCCTGCTTCCCCCTGCTCCTTCTCTTCCTCATTCTGCTTTTCCCTCTTCCGCCGAGGAGGAACAACAACTGCATACACATGAAATTTCGGAGCTCCGCGCGGATTTCTTGGATCGACGCCTGGGCTCCCCTGGCGGCGCCTCTGGCGCCGCCCCTGGCGCGTTCCGCGCGCCACGGACGGGGGCTCCAGCGCCGATCCAATAACTCCGTGCGGACCTGCGAACGTTTATGTTTATGCAGTTTTGTCTCAACCCCTCCTTTGCTGGTCTCTCGATTTGAATAAATCACTGTAGTGTCCCTCCTCCTCCTCCTCCTCCTCCTCCTCCTCCTCCTCCTCCTCCTCCTAGTCGGCGTGGGAAGGCCCACAATTCTTGCAACCCGCTAGGGGGGCGAGAGTAGACTCCCCACGCAGACTTCGCGGCCCATCGCACCGCCTCGGCCGAGGGAAGGGGGGAGGGAGGGGCATGCTCTTTCATCCATTTACTTGCTACTGAATCGTATTCCATGAAGGTGGTGACGTACAACCCCCAAGCGGCTGGACTTAGTGAGAGATTGGGGAATATTAGTTCGGAGCTGAAGGGGTGGGACGTGGTATTAGCGAACGGTACTCACCACTGGGCGGGAGCGGAAAGTGTGTTCACTACGAGACTGCCCAATCATATGGCGTACAGGTGCGGGGGAAAAGAGGGTAGGCTCGTGACGAAAGTGTGTGGAGTGGCTATATTGGTGGCGCACCATATTTATCCCACTGCGTTGCGACAGGTCTTTGTCCCCCCGTTGGACATTCAGGGAAGAGTAGGTGGATTGCGACTCTGGTCGCGAGAGGTTGATATTTGCTTCTTCAGTGTGTATCTTGCACCGACCCACTTTGCCCAGTTCCCGATAGTGGCTGATAAAGTCACTTGCTGGCTGGAACATCAGTGTGACGGATTCGGGACCAGATCTACGATTGTGATAGGTGGATATATCAACAGCCAATTCGGGTTACATCGGGGAACGGACGGGTTGGTGGAACAAAATTGGGGGCACACTACGGGCCCAGCCCACTCAGAGCTAGAAAATGAAAGCGGAACCAAGTTTCGAACGATGTGTGCTGGGTCCAACCTGTCGATAGTCACGACTTAATACGATGTAGGCCCGGCTTATTATGCGGCCAAAGGTGGTAGTAGTGCTATCGACCACATCGCTATCCCGACTGCTGCTCTAGGACGAGTTCAAAGATGCGTAGCGCTCCGCACGGCTGCGAAGCGCCTCCAACTGATCAAACGAAGAGGGCACAGAGACCACATACCAATTGGGTTGGTCCTCGATGTGACGGGAAAAAACAGCTTTGCGTCGGTGCGTCGAGAGAAGGAACCGCCCTTGAATCGGGACCAGCTCATGGACTGCTTGCGTCGTGGTGCGAGACGTCCCGGGTTTTTCGCGACCCTGGAGACTGCTATGGAGGAGGTCAGGGAGGAGTGGGAGACAGCTAAAGAGGAGAGCACACCCGATGCCATGTGGAGACTTTGGGGAGGGGCGGCAAGGAAGGTCTTGGACCAGGTGTTCAGACACGGCCAGCTCTCGGCGGACGAGGCTGCGACGGCTGTGCGACGACGGAGAATGGCACTGCTGAGAGAGCGGAGAGAGTTGCGAGCGAGGATGGTAGATGCCACTACAGACGGTGTGCTATGTGAAGTGCAGCACGAGTTAGCAGAAATTACTGCCCTATTGAAAGCGATCCGAGTGGACGCTGAGAAGGCGAGAAGAGCTAAACTTGTGGAGGAGATCTGGGCAGCCCATCAGAGAAGCGATTTCAGTTCCATGCGCAAGCTTAGGATTCAGTGCCAGAGGAATGGTCGCGGCCCCAAAAAGAGGTACTACATGGCTGCTCGTACCCACTGGTTTAAAGCTGAATGGGTCCACGAGTTAGGCAAAGCGCCAAAGGAGGGAGGGCTGGGGACTAGGGAGATCTCGCTTGAGGATTTCGAGCAAGAGCGGATAGAACGGATTGGCGAACAACTTCCTCTCCCAGTGGACCACGACACCCTCGGCCAGGTTGAGCTTGAAAAAATATGGATGCTCAAATATTGTAAGAAGGCTGCCAGACGAAGAGCTTGGCCACGGTGGGGCGTACCAGTGGAACTTACCTGGATGATATTAGACCCTTCGACGCACTTAGAGCATCCAGAGCTTCTCAGTAGGCAGATCGAACTCAATCGTATCAGTGCAGCCCGAAAATGGAACGATGAGGAGGGCGAGAGCAAATATTCTAGTCTGTTCAAATACCGTGTTGGCCGACGGATTGCAGAGAGGATGGGATGGAGGAGTGGGGAAAAGCTGGGACGGTCAGGGGGGGGGGGGGGGGGGGGGCTGGGCGGCGCGGAGCAGCAAGCGCACGAAGTTCAGCCGTACTTTGTGGACAGGCCAGCCCTTGCAGGATTAGGGGCAGCCCCGGTCTCCAGACCAGAAGGCGCAGGGCCCTACTTATTCCAGACGCTGCTGGACCAGCTTCTGTTGAAATGCCGTACGTCGCAGGTTGCACCTCTCTCTTGGCACCGCTCGGTCTCATTCGATGCTAAAAAAACAACAATGGAAACCCAGGCATCGGGGGCAAACCAATTTTGCGCGCTTATGGCTCTATGAGTATGTCTTGGCATTGGGGAATTCACAGAAGGGGGCTCCAGCCTCCCCGCCCCCCCTGGGCTCAGGGGGGGTTGGCCCTCCGCTGCCGCGAGAATGGCCTTTTGTGTTTGCAGTCGGTGCAGTGGAGGGCGGGGGGGGGGGGGGGGGGGGGGGGGAGTCAGTCGCGCGCGAACTATGACTGCAGCAACGCATTTGGGAGCACCGCATTTGGGAGCACCAAGCGTGCACTCCTTCAAGCGACGGCCTGGAAATATGCGGCGGAGGCAGACCAGCCATTTGCATTGGGAGCTATCGCGAACACTCAATTGAGTATGCAGTGCGCAGACGAATGGCTACATGCAGAAACGACGGTCGGAGCACAGATGGGGTTTACCCTATGTCCAAGACAATTCAATGATGTGTATACCTTGTACGTAGACCAATGGGTGCAGGGCGAGAGAGAGAGGGATGTGCACCAAGCTTGGCACGACACGGTGAACCCAATTACGGGTGCCAAGCACGACCTTGCACTGAACACTTTCATGGGCGACATCACGCGCGCGCATGCGGTTATTCTAGGAGCGAGCACGGCGCATGTGACGGAGCAACTGAACGGGGCCACGGCGCGACTGGAGGAAAACTTCGGGCGTGGGGGGTGGAGGCTGAATCAGGACAAGACCAACCACCTATTGTACTTGCGTGGTCCAGGATGCCATGGGGTTACCCGACAGTTGCGCAGGTCCAAGATTTTGAAAGGTGCTGCCCTTAGGGAAATGCGAGTCTTGGGTCCCTATCTTCCTTCGGACCAAGGGTTGGGGGGAGAAATGCAGAAGAGGATCGCGGCCATGCGTGTGGCTTGGAGACATTGTGGCAGCTTCTGGAGTTCGGCCACTCCTGACCCCATCAAGCGCGCCATGTTTATAGCGTTCGTGCTCGGGGCTACATGGGGCGGCTTGACAGCCTGTGCACCCCCGACCAGCCTGACTGACGCGCTAGACGCAGTTGTCGGGAAGTTTCTTCGAAGACTGGCCGTAGGGGGAATGAGTTGGACTACCGACTCAGGAGGGGCTCGATGCCACTCGACGGCCAGAGTATTTCAGGAATGGCGCATCGAACGGACTGCTGCCGCCCTTAGGGCGAGGCGATTGAAGTGGTGCAGAAACAGGGCCCTTTTTCCACTAGACCACGGGGGAGTATTGGCGGCTGTCTTTGGTAACTCGTTGCTGGGCGAACGTCGGGGGGTTCAGAGGCATAGAGCAACAAATGGGTCTGGATGTACTCTACCCCTCGGGCAAACCAACTTCGTGATGACATGGGGGCGTTGGCCCAGGTATCGGAAGACATGAATGCTTGGTGCCAGGATCGCACTTCCGATTTTGAATTTTTTTGCCCGGGTACGACTGCGTGGAAACAGTGGGCCGGCATGGGTGCGACTGTGATTTTGGAGTGCAGTTTTGGCTTGGGATGCGAAGACAGTAGGAGACAGCATTGGGATGGAGGAGGAGGTTACGAAGCCCTTTTGGTGCGACTGTCTGGTGCGGGGGGAGGGCGGGGCGGAGGAGGTGTGCGGGAAGAGGTTTGCTACGGCGCAGGCCCTATTGGGCCGCAGAAGGGAAGGTCGCAACACCAGGCCAGTTATCGCCGGCTTAGTAGCGACAAATTAGTGCCCCTGGTGCCGCAGTACCTTCGCAGACCGCCGGGCGGCCATCGACCATTGTGCCGGGGCCGCCGACGGACATGGGATTTGCTACAGAGATCGGAGTAAATGGAACCACACTGTGATCCCACCCACGTCGTTGGTCTGTCGGATATGTGACCGCGAGGCTCAAGACTTAGAGAGATTCCACATGCACGCTGCCACTCACCATCCTGGACCTTCTTCTGTTCGTGACCCAAAGAACCAATGAGCCCACAGCCATGCCAGGGGAGTGTGCCGCAGCCTCGTCAGCTACGGACCGCCCCTCGTGGGGGATCAAGCGAGGCGAGGCAGCAGCAAGCTTCGACGCCCCCGACAGAGGGGGAATCCAGGATGCGAAGGGAGTGACCTCGTTCAAGGACGACAAGAGCGGCAAGGACGGCAAGGGATCGGCACCTCAGGCCGAAAAAAGGGGGCGGCGGCGGCGAGCGGAGGCCGAGAGCCACCGCGGAGGCCGCCGCAGAGGGGAGGCCCCAACGACGACCATGTAGATTTCGCCATGTCGATCTCCAGCCTACAGAAGCTCGCCCTGCGCACGGCCCAGATGACACGGGGGCAGCAGCGCCAGCCGTCGGAGTTCTGGCTGATCCCAACCTCCTGTTCGCCATTCAAGGTGGGTTCACAAGGGGGGCGCGACTGCGCAGCTCAGGTCAGGAGCGCAGGCAAGAAGCACGCGTACGGCCCCCCGCGCGCGCCCACGTCGCAGTTGACACCGTCCAGGAGATCAAAAACTGCGTGGCGACGACGGTGAGGAGCGAGGGGGGGGGGGGGGGGGGTCGGATCCTGACGTGGACGTACGAGGTATTGCAGCACGGGCTCAACCTGGCGTACCACCCGAAGGGTTTGGAGTTCGTGCTGGAGACGGTCAAGCTGTTCAAGATCTCGGAGGCGTGGAAGCCGAAGGGCCAGACGGACGACGGCGAGGGCAAGGGCAAGCTCTTGTGCGCGATCAACCCTATGCCGATCATCCGCTGTCTATGGACGTCGGGACGACCCCCAAGATGAAAGAGGCAGAGATGATGGAGTCAGAGATCCTGGACGAGGGCGAGGAAAAGGACGAGCTCGACGTGTACTCGCCGCTGTACCTGAAGCAGGCGATGGGCTACGCTCTCACGAGGCTGGGAGGCGCCCGCGCGACGGGGCCAGGGCCGAAGACCGAGCTGGAGAGGGTGGTGGGGCGCCAGCTCCAGAGCAATCAGGGCAGGTAGAGAGCGCGCTTCCACGCGCTGAGAAATTGTCGCCCAAAGTTTGCGGGCCAGCCACAACGCCTGGAATTAGCAGCGCGCCCAGTTCGAGTGGGCCCGCGCCAACAGGGCCTGACAGGCCCCCGGAGTTCAGCCAGCCAGCGAGAGTACAAACGGCGACTGCTCCCGTTCCCGAATTTCGGTAGGGATGCTGGAAACAAAAACGAGCCCCTTACTGCCTCCTACTGAGAGCTCCCTCTGTACCCAGTCGGGGCTCGTCAGGATCTAGGGCCCCATTGCCCCCTTCTTTCCGACTCCTGCTACTACCGACGGAAATGACCAAAGCAACGGTCTGGGGTATTGGGGAGGGGATCCTCCATGGCCCATCTGCTGGCTCACAGCGCATGGGTGGAGTTTTCCTACTGCCGAGCGCTTGTGCCAGGCTGGGGATGCCCGCGCTCCCAGAAGTACCAGAGGCTCCGATGTGCCGGGGCCAAACGGAGGAACAGGAGATTGGGGGCGCCAGCTGCGTGATTGAGCTGCAGGAGACCAACCTGCAAAGGTGCCGAGAGGTGACGACAGAGGTGCCCAGGAACCTCGAGACGCAGATCGACACCCTGAAGGCCGCCAAGCTGCAGCTCACGACGTGTTTGGCTCGCAGCGCCATGGCCAAGGCGAAGACGACGCTTGAGATCTACATGGTCGCCGAAAACATTCGGGCCATCGAGGGCCAGATCAAAGGAATCGCGGCAGGCTTGGGCAAGCTGATCGAGGCCCACGGGGCGCTGAAGTACCAGACGGAGCTCCCCCTCATCTGGCCATCGGTCAAGGAGTACATGAAGAAGCAAGCCGACGAGACGGACAACACGAAAGAGATCGAGAGCAAGCCGAGGGTGGCTCGTGCAATCGAGATCGCTAAGCGCCAGCACGACGTCGTCCTGCCCTGGAACGCGTCGGACCCGACGACGTGGATATTCTACGGGTGGCAGCCGCCAGAGGGTGGCATCCCAGCATGGGATAAGAACAAGCCTGAGACGTGGCCATACTACGGATGGAAAGAAAAGGGGGAGTGGATCAAGTTCAACAGCGAGAACACCCAGACGACACAGATGCCCGAGAAGCAAGAGGACGCCTTCCCGCCTGCGGTGGGCTACGCGAGCAAGCGCAATATCGAGATAGACAAGAGGATGGAGATCATGAGGGGAGCAATGTCGCCGACTGCAGCTTCTTCGTCGGGCGAGAACTGAGCAGAACGACAGTGGCGCCAGCGCCGCAGCTGTGCACTGCCCTTTCTCTCGGGGGAGAGCCGTGCCTAGGGTTGCGAGTGTGTTGTGTGTGTGGGTGTTGCGTGAGAGCGTGTGTGTGTGTGTGTGTGTGTGTGTGTGTGTGTGTGTGTGTGCGTGTGTGTGTGTGCGTGGTGCCCCCCCCAAGGATGAGCATGCACTCCTTGCCCTAGAGCGACGGCGCGGCCCTGGGTATGTGCCCTGCCTTTCGCTCGCGACTGCCACGACCAGGTAGCGTTGTGCTCCCTGCACGCACCCTCCCCCCACGACAGAGTCCTGGGGGGACGCTGTAGGCAGGCCTTTGGCTCCCGCGATAGGCCCTGCATCCATATGATCTCGCAGGGGCATCTTCCAAGCGTTCCGAGCTTTCAGCGTAGGGACTTGGACACTGCCCCCCAAGCGCCTTTACCTTACTTTTTTTACATCCTCCTCCTCCTCTTCCTCCTCCTCCTCCTCCTCCTCCTCCTCCTCTTCGTCATCATCCTCATTTTCATTGTTATGTTCTCATTTGTATTCGTGGTATCCTTCTGCTTATCACTGTTCGTATGTGCTTATGATTATTCTTATCATTATCATTATTACGATTGTTCATTATATATAATAGTCGCTTCTTATTGTTTTGTAGCTGTTATTCGTACTATCGTTAATTCTACGATTTGTAGTATCATTATTCTTCGCATTCCTCTTACATTCGTATGTCTAGTAATGCTATCCTTTTTACCATTACCACCACCATCATAACTGCCAGCACCATCGTCATAATAATGTTCATCTTCATCGCCATCAGCCTCATTATCACCATCATCACCCACATCATTATACTAATCGTCATCACCACCATCAGTATCATCACCGTCGTCATCATTATCATCATACTCATCATCATCAACATCATCATCATCACTGCCATCTGCATCATCAACATCATCCTCATTCTCCTCATCATCACACCACCATCATCATCATCCTCGCGGCTCCCTGGGTGGCTGCAAAGTGCGGAGCTGCCGCTATTTTCGTTGGCTCCTGCTGAGGCACGGCGGAGTGGGGGATCCACGCAGACCCGGCCGAGACCTCGCGGGCCCTTGCTCACGGAGGGGTGCTCCTGTGCTTTGCGGGTCCTTTTAACATGTTCATTCGCATTGATCGGTCCTGGGTATACCGTGAAGGCCTTACGGCCGGTGCCGCCGACCCTTGAGGCCTCAGCCCTCGACGGAAATGGGAGGGAGCGGGCGGGCCGGGAGGGTGGTATTCTGACCCGGGATCACCCCTTTCGATCTCCCCTCCGGGACCCCCCCGCCCTTTTCGCGGGGAAGGGATCAAAGGGAATGGGCTTCACTTCGACTCAATGGCAACGTTGCTTCATTTCGCTGTGGATGGGTTGGTGCATTTCGCTTTGGTTGGCGTGCTTCAGGACGAGGGCCCAAGGATAGGGGGGGAGCGGCGACGGACTCAGGGGAAGGAGGGGGCGTGATGGCGGCTGGGACGCGACGGCGGCAGCGACGGCGATGGCGACGGAACAGCCCCTGTCACACGCCGACAGGGTCGGCGGATATATCCGAGGCCCGAAAACCATCACTTCACTAATTTTGGGCCCCAGGGCCCACTGAGGCCCCAGGGGCCCCAGATTAGTGAAGTGATGTTTTTTTCCCACGTACGGACCCCGAACTTATTTACTTCACTAAACCGAGCCCAGGACGAAAGTCAGGGGCCGAATTGCTGCTGTGATGCCACATCGGCCTCGTAAGATAGTCGCCACATGTTGATAAAGGATGATGACGGGTCGGGTACGTCGTAGGGTAAGTGTTCTTCTATCTTCCCTCTTCCTTGCCCCTCGCTCCCTTCTCCTCCCTCTCCGACCTACCCTGGAGAGCCCTTAAGCACTCTGAGGACACTCGAGAGCCCCTTGTCCAGCGACCCCCTATATAACCACCCAGACTTTTGGAGCCCCCCGGAAACTCCTCTCCGTCCCCGCTGCTGCCGCTCTCCCCACAGCGCGGAAGGCATGGAGCACAACACCAACCTGTTCACCGACGCCCAGTTCCTGGCCGTCCCGGCGATCAACTTCTTCGGACTGCCAGGCTACCAGCAGGCAGCCCCAGGAAGAGCAAAAGGAGAGGAGAGCGAGGACTCTCTGGTTGGCGTTTGGATTCAGAAACATCTGCCGTTGATCCCCCCCTTCCGGTGCCCACTGCTGTGATGTTTGATCAATGTGCTTCTCCCCTGGCTCGCACCTTGCTTTTTACAGAAAGTCTTGAGTCTCAGACTGCGTTGATGGCCTCCGGTTTACAACAACACCAGCTCGTTCGAAATTGATCCAAAATAGCGTTCTCCCGCGGAATTTAGTTACATTTAATGCAGGAGTTGCGCTGTCCCGTGGAAATTCTTTGCAATTTATTCATACGCCGCGCCCTCGACACTCAGGAATCACGCTCCCGCTTTGGATTTACTTGCAAATCACGCTGCCGCTTGAGACTTCCTCGCGATCCATGCGGGATGGATGCTTCAGCGACCAGCCCGTTTGATCTGGCCGTCTGGCAGACCGCCCGACCCGCCCGCCTGGTTCTGCCGCTTCTGTTTCTGCTCCTAATTCTTCGCGCTTCGGGTACGGTAGGTCCACGTCGTGTCGACCAGCGGCGACCCCGCCGCGGGTGTTCAAGGTTGAACGCCGCCAGTGGCCCAGAATCGGCCTATATGGAACGATCGGGCGATCGAAAAGCCGCCGATCGTTCAAGGTTGAACGATCCACGCGGTGTCAAAAACCAACGCCGGGGTCGTCACGACACGAACCTGCCGTACCCCCACCAGCCCATCCAGAATTGCTGCCCCTGAGAGCTGACGGGAAATGGGAGGAAGAGATACATTTAGTGAGCCAAGGCGGGCAACCACGGTGAACTGAGGATGCGGAGGAGGAGGAGGATATGGACGACGACGTGAAGACGAGGAAGAGAGGAGGAGGAGGATAAGCATTGTACGTGCTCGCGCGCTATGTGTTGTCCAGCGGGCCTTCCCCACCGTGTGCCGTACCAGGATACGGCTGAACAGAACTCTCTACAGCCCCTCTTTGCTCAAGTCTTCTTGGGCACCAGTCTCGCCGCTTCGTGCATGCAGGCGGCGGCTGGCTGGGTTCTTGGGATCCTCGCGTCCCGCTGGTCCGCGCCGGCTCCGCCCGCGGACCCGTCCTGCACCTGCATCTTCAGCGGGCACGAGCCGGGCTCGGGCGTGCTGGACATCCTCCGGGAGCAGCTCTCGCGCTGCGGCCCGGAGCACCTCGGGGCGGCCTGCCCCGCGTGCCCGGCCTGCGTGTGCCCGCAGTGCCCGGCCCCAGCGGCTCCGTCCGGGGCCTGGGTGCTCGTGGTCCTCGTCGGGCTCGCGAGCTTCGCCGCCGGGGTGGCCGCCGCGGCTGCCTGGCTGCTTCGGGCGGGGCCGCCTCGCGCGGTCCTGCCGCCGCTGGCCCTCGCGGAGGGTCCTGCTGGGGAGCTCGTGGGTGCTGCGACGCCGGCGACCCTCCAGCGAGTGCGGAGGCGGGCTGGCGCCGTGAATGCCGAGGGCGCTTGACGTTCCCTACGCCCAGTGCCTCGTGCGGTACGACGACGACGAGAACTTCCAATGGCACCACAGGGTCCTCCTCGTCAAGGGGCCGGACCAATGGTGGGTGTGGGTGACTCCCGACGGCGAGATCGCGGCAGCCAACCTGGGGGGCTTCCGAGTGGTCGCCCTCCAGCGTGGGGGAGCCTTCCCCGACCGCTACCGTGGCAACATCTACGTGTTCGACGATGCCGATGTGGACGCCGAGGAGATGCACCAGTACTACCGCGAGGCGCGGGCGCTGGGGGACATCCTCGGGTACCCCGCCTCGGCGGCCCCCCTCGCGCGGGACGAGCGGTGGTTCGTCTCGGACCCGACCTCGCCCCAGTATGGCGAAGAGGTGCCCGCGGCCTCCGTGGGCAACGACGAGGTGCTCATCCGCCGGGGCGAGGTGGGCCTCGTGCTGATCGACGACGTCTGGCAGACGGCGGTGCGTGTCGAGGCCGGCGGCTCCTTCGAGGAGTGGCAGGCTCGGGCGCGCGGAGGTCCTGGTCGGGACCCGCGCATCGCTGGCGACGAGCGGGACGAGGAGAAGGATCGCTTCATGAGCTTCCGCACCTCCGTCTCGAAGATGCGAGAGCAGGCCATCCCTGGATGGCCCCTCAAAGGGAAGCGGGCTACGCGCGAGGCTTGCCTCGCTCTTCGGGATGCCGGACAGGAGGGTTGGGACGAACACCACACGACGTGGGTCAGGAGGTCCGGCATCCCGGAGAAGAGCAACACCGCCCGCGAGCACCGGATGCTCTGCTCCGTGCTCCGCATCATGCAGCAGTTCGACCAGCTGGACCTCTACAACGTGGCGGGGGTGGAGTACATGGTGCGCCGCTTGAAGCAGCTCGAGGCTGCCGCCAGGCGCAACCCGAGGCAGCCCGACTTCGACGGGCTCGACGTGGTGCTGGACGCCGCCATCGACGAGTCCGGCGGGTTCGTGCTCCCGGCCTTCGACGCCTGGGTCGGCGAGCAGCAGCGGTCCGAGGCGGCCATCATGAAGGCGGGGAGGCAGTGGCGGGAGGAGACTTCGGCGAGCGGCTCGAAGGACAAGCCGCCGAAGCACCCCAAGAAGGAGGGCAGCGGGTAGGCGGGCGTGGGGCCCCCTGCCCTGCCGTCCCAGCCCGCGGGCTCGCCGCCCCGCGCCGCTGGGCCGGCCTTCTCGGCGTGGGCTCCTCCACGTCCGCAGTTTTGTCTTCTTGGGCATGGCTCGTCGCGATCATCGTCGTCACGGTGAGCCTCTGCCACTTCCGGTCCCGCAGCCCTCTGGGTTCGTGGACCTGGCCGACGCGCCGAGGTATCTGGCCCTCCGTGCCGTACGTCGACGCTGTCGCGAACACCGACTTCGGGAGGCCGTTCGCTCGATCAACGACCTCTCCCGTGCCTCGGTCCACGGGTTCGGCAGCGTGCCAGCCCGTGGCTCCACCACGCCCGGCGCGCCCTCCGCCACGCAGGCCAGCTGCCTCGCTCACCTGCGTCGCAACATCGGCCGGCACGGCCCACGGCCGCCTGGGCTCACCCCTCGCGGAGCCCTTCAGGAGCTCCTCAAGTCCGACTCGCTGTACGCCGGGGCGCCCTCCAAGGTCGCACCCTACAGTGAGGACAAGCTCAAGTTCTGGAAGTCGAAGATCGTCCCGAAGCGCGTCGAGGACATCTGCCCCGACTTCGTCGTCCGCGCCTTCGCCGACCCCGATCGGTACGTGCGGAAGCCGGACAGGGTCTTCTTGGCTGATGCGGAGGGGCTCGACCCCATCGTGCCCTACTGGGACCCTCACCTCGCTGGCTCGCCCGACGCGCGGGTCAGGTTTGTCCGCCGCCTGGCGGAACGAGGCCTTGTCGGCTACCGTCGGCGCATTCGTGCTCGCGTGGGCTGCTTCTTCGTCGAGAAGAAGGGGGGGTTCATCAGGCTCGTGGTCGACGCCCGCGAGACGAACCGGACCCACTGGAGCCCACCGCACGCTGCCCTCGGGACCCCGGCCGCGCTGGCGGAGCAGGACTGGTCGGACGCTGCCCTGGGAGCCTCCGACGCGACCTCGGCGCCCGCCATCTACGGTGCCTCGCTCGACCTGGCCGACAGCTTCTACCAGTTCTGCTCGGACGCCCTCGCCGAGGACTTCGGCATGGACTACCCCGAGCCCGCGTCGGTGTACGGGGCGACGCACGTCTGGGAGGACGGCCGCCTCATCCCCGTCGGCGCCGACGACGTGGTGTTCCCCGCCTTCCGTGGCGTCGCCATGGGCTGGAGCTGGGCCCTTTGGGTCGTTCACTCCTCGGTCACTTCGTGGGTGGGTCACGCGCTCACGGGCGGGCCTGCGAGCCTCGTCTTGGACCGTCAGCCGCCGCGCCCGGCGGCCCCTGGCAGGCCCGCCGGCTCCGTCTACGTCGACAACGTGGGGATCCTGGGTCTCTCCGCCGCCGATGCTGCGGCGGGCCTGGCCAGCGTCATGGAGGAGCTCGACCGCCGGGGCATCGTGTACCACGAGGTCTGCGAGCCGTCCCTCGAGTTCGGTATGGTGGGCGTGGTGTATGATGGCGTCCGTCGGACTCTGCGTCATTCCGACGAGCGGGCCTGGCGGCTCTACTTCGCCTGCCTGGAGCTGGAGCGCCCGGGCGTGCCCCGTGCCGCGTGGCAGGTGCGGGTCGTCCTCGGACACTTCATCCAGCACTGCCTCCTCCTGCGGCCGGCCATGTCCATCTTCCGCCACCTCTACAGGTACGTGGACGAGTGCCGGCTCGGGCCGCCTTCCCCTCTACCGAGTCCCGCTCGGCAGGAGGTCCGCGTCTTCCGAGGGCTCATCTTCCAGGCGGTCGTCGACCTCGCCGCGCCCGTGTCGGACATCGTGCTCTGCTCCGACTCCTCCGAGGCGGGCTACGCCCTACACCGCCGGCGCTGCGACCCCGAGGCGGTGCGCCGACTCGCGCGCCTTCGGGAGCGCTGGCGCTTCACGCCCGACGAGAAGCGGCCCGAGGCCCTGGAGGACGACACCTACACGCCCGGCTGGCTTCCTGGCGCTGGAGGGGTGCTCGGTGAGGGGGACCCCAGCTGCGGCATCGCGACCTGGGCCCCGCCGCCGAGGAGGGCCGACGAGCGCCCCCACGGCACCGTCCGGGCTCGGGTTGCACAGGCACCGCGGCGCGCGACCTTCGAGGACATCCCCGACGAGCTCGTCGCCCCAGAAGCCTGGTCGCTGGTCGTGGAGGGTGCATGGAGGACGCGGGCGCCCATCCATATCCTGGAGGCCCGGATCGCCCTCGCGGGGCTTCGGCACGCCTCCAGGAGCCTCGAGTGCCACGGGCGCCGCGTCCTCAGCCTCGGGGACAACATGGCCGAGGTGCTCTCGACCGAGAAGGGCCGCGCCGTCGACGTCGGCCTCGGCTCCGTGTGCAGGCGCAGTGCCGCCATCCAGGTGGCCACCGGCATCCGCTGGCGGCGCCGATACCTCGACACAGGGAGGAACGTCAGCGATGGTGGCTCGCGCAAGGCCCTGCAGGGGTTGTACCGCCCTGGGCAGCGTCGCGTGGGACCTGGCGCCGGCGCCGCTGGGGTTGCGGGACGGCCTGGTGCGGCCCCGCCCCCGCCGCCGCCCCTGGGACAGACTGCTGGCGCTGCGGGCCCCGCTCGGGCTGCCGGCGCCTTGGCGCCGCCCGCCGTCGCGGGGGACCCAGCGTGCCGACGAGGGGGGGAGGATTCAGACCTCTGCCGTCACACCCCTCGGCCGCTCCCCCGCGACGGCCCGCCGAGGCACCCCAGGCGCGTGCCGGCCCCCCCGCGTGACGTGCTCCTTCGGCGAGGCCGGCAGGGGCCGCGCAAGCCCGCCTGGCTCGCGCCCCCGCCGGGCCTCTCGGCGCCCTCGGTGGTTTGGCCGAGGCGGCCGCGTGGCGGCCACGCTTTCGCAGGCGCGGGCTCCGCCCGCCGCCGGCCGCCGCCCTGTCGTGGCTCGGCCGGCCGCTGGGGCCGGTGTGGGCCCAGGATGCAGCCAATTCGAGTGGATGAAACGTCAGATCACGGTCTGTCTCCTCGGCCTCCTGCTACGTCTGCGTTCTCTACGCCGACCGCTGCGCGGGCTCCGCGACCCCGGGCTGCCTTGGAGGTCTTCTCGGGCTGCGGGCGCTGGACCGGTGCCCTGGCCCAGGCGGGCCTCGTCGTCGCGGCCCCCATGGACATCAAGCACGGGCCCTGGTGCGACCTCCTCAACCCGAAGGTCGAGTCTCAGGTGCGTTCCTGGATCACCTCCCGGGCCGTCTGGTTCGTCCACTTCGGCACCCCGTGCACCCCGTGGTCCATCTCTCGGCGAGGGGCTCGCGAGGTCTCCGCCATCAGGGCGGCCCGACGGTGTGCTCACGTCACGGTGCGTCTCTTGGAGGTCTGCAGCCGCTACGGGATCCACTGGTCTCTTGAGAACCTCAGTCCTCGGGCCTCTTCCGATGGGCCCCACTCCGGAAGTTCTTGGACCAGCACTCGCGCTCCTGGGCTACCTACCACTGCTGCCGGTTCGGCGCGCCTTACAAGAAGCCCACCACTATCGTCTCAAGTCTGGGGGCCCTGCACGACATCGGCCTGCTCTGCGAAGGGGGCCACAGGCACGAGCACTTGTCTGGGAAGGTACGTGTCCGTGCGCCCACGGGAGGGCTCAAGCTTCAGTGGAAGACCACGTTGGCCGGCGCGTACCCCCCGGGCGCCTGCCATCTCGCTGCCAGCATCCTGGCAGCGGCGGCGCCGCGCGGCGCCAGGAGGCCAGATGGTGCTCCACTACTCGAGGAACGATGGCAGGCTGGTCTCTGCCGGGCGGCGGGCTGCGACTTCGGTCCTCGGGCGCTCCCGTGCCCGACCTGTCCCTCGCGCTGGGCCCCGCTCTGGAGGTCGGACGCCGAGCAGTGGGGCGGCGTCTGGGGGCCCCCGAGGCCCCCCGCTGGAGGAGGCTCCGTCCGAGGGCCGCGGGCCGGTGCGCCGACGCCCCGCCGCTGCCGTTGCCGCGCGGCGGCCTCGCGTCCGGCGAGAGCCCGCTGACTACAACCCTGGCTTCCTCCGGCGCTCGAGGGTGACCGCCACGACCGCCGAGCGGTACCACGCCAGCCTGCACGAGTTCGCCGCGCAGATGGGCCTGGACCCGGCGCGCTGGACCGCCCGCGACCTCCCTGCCGTCGACGCCGCCCTCGACCGCTTCCTCGAGGAGCTCTTCGTAGCCGAGCGGTCGCGGGGCGATGCTCGGTATGTGCTGGCGGCTGTCGCCGACCATTTCAACGTCAGCCTCCGCCAGCCTGGGGTCCTCCCGCTCGCTCGCGCTGCCATGGCTGGCTGGGGCAAGCTGGAGCCTGACTCGACTTCGGATCCCCTCCCGTGGTCGGCCGCTGTGCTGATGGCGTACCACCTGTCGCGGACCGGCGTCGAGTCCGACCTCGAGGCCGCCCGCGGCCTCGTTGTGCAGTTCGACACCTACCTGCGGCCCTCGGAGCTGGTGCTCATGCCTCTGGTCGCGTGCTTCACGCCGGGCATGCACGCTGGGGTTCACTACAACAAGTACGGGATGGTTGTCGCGCCGTCCAGCCAGGTGGCCGGCCAGCTCATCGGCATCCGTACCAGCAAGACCGGCGTGCAGGATGACACCGTCCTCCTTGATGAGGCCAGTCGACCTGGCGTAGTCGGTGCCTTCGCTGCCCTCATCCGCCAAGCCCGCCGTGCCCGCTCGCAGACGCTGCTCCCTAGCCACACGTATGCCTCGTGCAATAAAGTGCTGCAGCAGGCCGCCCGGGCCGTTGGCATCCCTTTCAAAGTCACGCCTCACCTCGCCAGGCACGGGGGGCCCAGTGAGGACTTCCTCCGCCGTGCCAGGACGCTGCCCGAGATCCAGGCGCGCGGGCGCTGGGCCTCGTTTCGCAGCGTGCAGAGGTATGAGAAGGCTGGCCGCCTCCTCGCGGCCATCCGCAAGCTTCCGCCTGCTGTCCGATCCGCTGCCTGCCAGGCCGAGGCTCGCGGTCTCTCTTTTCTAGCGTGAGTAGTTTCTTTGCGGCCGTGGGCCAGTGGAGTGTTATGGGAATTTCTCCCCAGCTGCTCTCCAGTCTGTGATATGGGACTTGGTTGGCCGACGCCTTTTCGGCCCCGGCGTTCCTGGACCTCAGACGCCGGCGGCCCCTCGGAGTGGCTAGCCTCTCTCTCACACAAGTCGCCAGCGACGTGGTCGCCTGGAGAGTGGAAAATACATCGTCCAGGTGCGACGGGCCGTGGCCCGACCGTTCCCCTCTCGCCCTGTCGATCTCTCCGTGGCGGCCTCCCTGGTGGGGGCATTATACTAGTCAACATTGTACGTGCTCGCGCGCTATGTGTTGTCCAGCGGGCCTTCCCCACCGTGTGCCGTACCAGGATACGGCTGAACAGAACTCTCTACAGCCCCTCTTTGCTCCCCGCCCGCGTGCCACCCTTTGCATATAGGTACTGTTAATGTTCTGTTAATGAGCTGCTGGACTTGGTTGGCCGACGCCTTTTCGGCCCCGGCGTTCCTGGACCTCAGACGCCGGCGGCCCCTCGGAGTGGCTAGCCTCTCTCTCACACAAGTCGCCAGCGACGTGGTCGCCTGGAGAGTGGAAAATACATCGTCCAGGTGCGACGGGCCGTGGCCCGACCGTTCCCCTCTCGCCCTGTCGATCTCTCCGTGGCGGCCTCCCTGGTGGGGGCATTATACTAGTCAACATACTAATAATTATAATAAGGAAGAAGAGCAAGAGGAGGCCAAGGGCCCTCTTGCGGCCCTCTCGGGGTTCTTTTGGGGGGTCTTGGGATCCTTTTCGGCCTCTTTTGGGTGGTCTTGGGGCCCTCTTGGGGCTATGGCGGGAGCCCTGGAGGGCCTCTTGGGGCCATCTTGGAGGCCATCGATCAGAAGGGGGGGGGGGTGCTTCATTCAGGCTCCCCCTCAAGAGCCCTCAAAACCGTGTCTTGGAGCCCTCTTGGGGCGCCCTCGAACGCTCTGGGAGCCGTCTGGGGGCCTCTTGCGCCCCTCTTGGGGCTCTCTTGGGCCACCTTGGGCCACCTCAAGACGGCAAAGCCAGTCGAAAGCGACACAGCGAGAACGCAACAACCAGTGTTTTTTGCTCAGGTTGTTGAAGGATGTTTACCTCTTGGGGGGGGTCCTGAGGGGGCTCCGAAAACACTTGAAGCCGTCTTGCGGTCCTCTTGGGGCCTCTTGGAAGCTTTTCGGAAGTTGTTATGACCAATGCCCCGCTAGCTTGAGCCAAGATGGCCGTTTTGGAGCATCGGGAGCCCTCTTGGAGTCATTTTAGGCGACTCGCGACCGCCCCCCCCCCAAAACCAAGAACAAACAGAGGAGGGGTGGGGGAGGGTACCCCTCCCCGAAGGTAAGAGGGGTTTTGGAAGAGTAGCGGAGAACATCCTTCGACCCCTTACGCCCAAAAGGGTTGGTGGGATTCTCCTCCTGCTAATTCATCTCTCGTGCTCTATCCTTCGCCCTCCCCCTTGTCCATTCCCTCCTCCCTTCCCCTGTTTCAGGGGCTGCGTCAACTACACGTGGCAGATAAGGAAGGTACACCCCCAACGAGGGTACGATCGAAGACGAAGAGGGTTGGTATCGAGTGCTTGGGGTATTCATATTGAGTAACACGCGAACAGGTAGAAGCGAACAGTCTTAGCCATATTGCTGTTGTTGTGGCGGTGGCGGAGGGGGAGGAGGACCGGGGGAGCAGGAGGATCAGAGGGGGAGGGTGATCCCAGGAGGAGGAGGAGGAGCTGGAGGATCGAAGGAGGAGGATCGGAATAGGAGGATCGGAAGAGGAGGAGGAGGATCGCTTGATCATGCTGATAATACTGCCGCGGATGATGATGATGATGATGATGATGATGATGATGATGATGATGATGATGATGATGATGCTGATGACAATGATGATGACGATGATAATGGTGATTATGATGGTGATGATGATGATGATGATGATGATGATGATGATGATGATGCTGATGCTGATGATGCTGATGATGATGATGATGATGATGCTGATGCTGATGCTGATGCTGATGATGATGATGATGCTGATGCTGATGCTGATGCTGATGCTGATGATGCTGATGATGATGACGATGATCTCGTTGTTGTTGATGCTGCTGATGATGACGATGATGATGATGATGATGATGATGATGATGACGACGATGATGATGATGGTGATGGTGATGGTGATGGTGATGATGCTGATGATGATTATGATGATGACGATGATGCTGATGCTGCTGCTGCTGATGATGATGATGATGATGAGGAGGAGGAGGAGAAGGACAAGGATGAGGAGGAGGATCGGAGGAGCAGGAGGATCGGAGAAGGAGGGCCGAGGTTGGAGATGATTCTGATGATTCAGATGGATGCTGTTGATGCTGTTGATGATGATGATGATGCAGAATTGCCAAACTTGCATCGATCCTCTCGACCCTCGAACCACATACGCCGACCATGGCCTACAAGAGGAGGGACGGATCATCCCTGGAGCATGGATTGTCATGTCTGCGGGGAGGCAGGCCCGAGAACAAACGG